ACTATTGCACAGGCCTTCTATAGATACCAGTTCCTCATCTGAGTTCTTCTCCTGCCCATTCATTTATTCTTGAAAAAAATAATATGGGACTCAATCTCCATCAGTTGAGAACATCATTTCAGTGTGGAGAACCGAATCCTGTGGTTGATCACCTGTGCAGTATTTCTTCCACAGAGGCTGTTTGTGTGAGCTCATTCTAACTTCTGTCCCAAAGTAATGTCTGCCAGGGAATTAAACATTTTCATTCCCAAACTGAATACTGGAGGCTGAGATTCTTATTTCATCCTCAGCATTGCTAAGGACTTTTCCAAGGGTGCTGGAAAACTCCTTTGAGTTGGTTGTCCTGAAGCTGAAAGATGCAAGGTCTCACCCATTTCTGTGCAGATGGACAAACTGTTTTTAAGTTATATCAAGTCTGTTTTGGAGTCTGTTTGTCACTGGGCTATAATCCATCAGAGCTCAAGTCGTACCAGTTGTTGGGAATGCCTAACATTTGTCAAGCAGCCATCTGGAGGCTCTCCATACCTTCCATACCTTCTCCATACCAAAAAGCATGCTGTTGTAGAAGCACCACCAGGGATGTAGCATTTGGCTACATCCCTGGTGGTGGCTAAGTGGATCGAAGTTGCTGCGTGAAGGATTCAGAGGCCCATCTCTGAGGAGGTATAAGTCTATGACAGTTACTGATTAGTCATGAACAGTGTTGAATATATGTGAACGGTCTCTCGAAACAAACAAAAAGGAGGTTACTTAACCAGACATAAATCTTCCTTGCCCCCCATCCTTCCAGGTATTCATCTTTGTTGGGATCTTGCAACAGAATGAATAAAAAAAACTTTATGGTTTGCTACCTTCTCTGTGCATCAGGTGTGATAGAAGAAGCACAGGACTGATTAAGAACAAAAACTGGTTACCCAGCTTTGAATGTTAATATATTCTGAATGTAAACATTTTGAGTGCACTTCTGGATAGCTTTTGGCAACCTTTCTGTTGCCTTAAGACTGAAAAAGAATCTAAATATAACCAGCATGTTTATCTGGCATGCTACTTTAGAGCTCACTTAACATATATGGACATCCCACTATATTTTTCCTTTTAGTGATTAATTCCTGCATTTTCATTTCTCTGTTATGCTTTAAATGATTGCTTGTTCATATATCAGTCCTTTGGCTAGCTAAGGAGTCATTTTATATGGTCTAGAAAGCACACCAGCAAAGCTGTTATTCTTCCCTTTTTTGGTACAACTTTTAAATGCTGCTTTATCTGAGTCTCTGTATCTTTTCATTGTAAAGATCTGAATATTTCTCTTTTCTCTCCTATTCTGCTCATTTTTGCAGTGCACGCTGTTGAGAGTAAGTGTTACTGTATCCTTCCCCTGCCCTCCGCCAAACTGATTACTACAGAACTAACATAATTTCTATTATTTGTTGTACCCATAAATCTTTGGGAGGAGCTGTTGATCTAGGCTGGGATTTGAGAAGATTTCCTGAAAGCTAAAGCGAGAGTCATCCCAGGTCATTCTGTGGTAAATGAGGTCATCAGATGGAAAACATTGAGATTCTAATCTTTGTCTTAAATTATTTTAATATATCAGTGTTGGAGATAATGTGTTGGCAGATTATTAGTTGCTCTGTGCAGCTAATGTAATTGAGGGGGACATGGTGACACGTTAGAGAGACTTCTACCTTTTGAAGTCAGGTGGGATAATTATCTCATTTAATCTCATTTGTACAACAGGCTAAAGAATTTCTCCTGGGAATTCATGCACCAAGCCTGCTAGTCTAAGAATACTCGGTAGGAGGTTTTCCGAGGGTTTGTAAACCAATGGGATTTTTTTAAAGGGTAATCCTGGTGACTACAGATTGAGATGTGATGTTTCAACTCAGGAGAGGGCTTAGGCTCTCAGCTTTGCTTACTCCCTCCCCCAGTTGCAACATTTTCTGTGTTGCTCCGCGCCTCCATCTCCTCTTGACAATGCATCCGTATGTCACTCATCATCTTCCTGCTGCTGTGCTCCTGTAAGATGTTTTCCTCCAGAAAATTCATCCCCAGTTTGAAAATTGGTGTCCTAGCTCACCTTGAAATATGTTTGGGTAGCTGTGTCTTGGGTTTCTTGCAGTCTTAATGTGTTTATTGGCAGAGTGTGGGTGGCCCATAAGTGATGTTAACCCTGTTTTACAGGTAAAGGACTGAATTTCAGAGTCTAAGAAGGCTTTGTGGTTGTTCAGGTCAGAAATGAAAGATGGGGAGAATTCTTCGGGTAGACAGCAGTTCTTAAAACTGTGTTACTAAAACAGCGAAGAAACCTAGGTTATATAAAACCAGACAGACTTCTTGACAAACTTAAGATGATTTACAGGTTTCTTTATTTTACCTAGCTGGGCACTTAGCTGCAGTTACAGAAAGGAAAGAGTATGTTTATGTTTCTTCAGAAATAACAGTCTCTGGTCCTAGCTGGCAGTCTCTTAAGATCTGTTCCGTTTCCTCTGTTTCTTCTCTAAGCAGGCTAAATAGCCTGTTGTTTTATGTTAAGCAAACTATGGCTAGCTGAACATTGACCTGCAACCTAGAGTATATACACATGTGCTTAGCAGTCTTCAGTGATCCAAGATAAATAAAGGTGTGGTCTGGTGGAAGACTGTTTTAGAAACTGAAAATACAAATCATGCCTTTTTGCAGAGTTGTAAATCATTTATTGGGGAGGAAGTTTAGAAAAACTAATTAATTGGCATTTTATCTGTGGAAGGCATAGCAAGCACTGTGAGGAAATTTTGTTTGAGATAGCCATAACTGTTAAAACATGTTACACACGATGCAAACCTAGTGTAACAGGCTGGTTAATGACTGGTCTTTCTCAAGTGCTGCCTTTGAATTTCTCTTGTACTGCACTATTAGTGTAAGATTTGTCAGCATTATCAGTACTCAGCTCCCACTTCACAGGCTAACACATGTGACTACCCAAGCGTTAAAGCTGAAGACCATAATCCCGCATAGGGTTCTAGGAGCACAGCTACCAGGAGGAGCATCCCTGCCCGTCCCTGTGCATTGCTGCGCTGCACCAGCACAAGTGTTCGTGCAGCTGTGTGATT